TGGTTGATGTTTCTCAGAAAATTGTTTCCAGGCAAGGTTAGCCTTTTATGGAGTGAAATGCGTATCCAATTTGAACGTTTTTCATGCAATCCAGCCATTTGGCTCCAACGCACAAATACATGCAGTAGCCAAATGCCACAGGCATTACCAAAATGTATAGGCAAATTATATGCTGAACGCACACAACAGCCGGCCTCCAGATGCGCAGCGGGCGGTTTAATTAATCATGCATACAAGCAGCGCGCTGGACAATGTCATCATGCCGAGCTCCCGTCCATGGTGCGGACGTGGTTGAATAGCGCGTGGACCCAATCAGCCCCTGTGCCCCGGCAGGGAGAGCCGTACTCTGTTCGACGCTGCGGTCTAGCAGGCCGAGCACCACCACAGCCAGCCGTGCGACTCACTGCACGGCCCACCGCGCGGTCCACCGCACAATCCACAGCGCGGTCTACTGCACGGTCCACCGCATGGTCTACCGCACGGTCCACCGCATGGTCCACCGCACGATCCGCAGCGCGGTCTACTGCACGGTCCACCGCACAGTCCACCGCACGGTCCATCGCATGGTCCACCGCACCGTTCACTGCACAGTCTACTGCACACTCCACCGTACGGTCCACCGCACAGCTCACCGCACAGTCCACCGCATAGTGCATCGCATGGGCCAACGCATCGTCCACTGCGCAGTCCACTACGTCAACAACGCAACAACAACAACAAAAAAACAGTCTGCCGCGCGGTAAATCACACCGCCTACCGCATGGTCCACAGCACAGTCCACTGCGCTGTCCACAAAGCAGTCCACTGTACAGTCCACGACCCGGTGGTCTGATCATTAGCCTGCCACTTCGCTGTCCTTGGGCACACAGCTCTGAAACGGTCCATCCCGGACGTAGGACCTCAGATATGACCACAACGAGCACTGCTGGTAATAACCGGTAATAACCGGCCCGCTATTGCCCTCATAACCCGGCGGGCTATGTTGTACCGCTCGGCACCGCTCCTCGCACGCAGGTCACAGCACAGCCACTTCTGTGCTGCCCCTCACGCGAGATGCCACAGGAACATGCAGTGTGTGGCGCGTATTGAGCGGAGCCCACGCCTCCAGACATAGCTACAAGCCTGATGCCAATCGTCGAGCCTGGGCAAAGCGTTGCTAAAATGATCTGCAAATGAACGTAATGCAGCTCAGTCCAGCAGAGACTGACGCCGAAATATGCTCATGCATCCTCATTTGTATCGTTATGGTCACGTCTCCCGCACTACCTGATTTTTATGGACCCCGTTATTCACATTAAGTGGGGTCATATGCGCAAATGGCCGACCTCATTTATTCCGTCACGAAACCCGGAAAGGGGACCAGATTCTAGTGAGCCGCTGTCTTGTATGAAAATGATTAAATGCTCTGGGAAGGCCACTGAGGGTGGGACATTATGATTAATGTTCCCTTTGAAATGACCTTCAGCCCCATGGGCCGGAAGAAGCTCAGTTATCTTCTGAAGTTTTAAAAAAGGAATGAGGCGGAGGAACGTGAGATAGCACATTCACTCTTCCACTCTGCTGTTCATTCAAACAGCATGTGCGCTTCGTCCCATCAACACGGCTTAAAGTCATCCCCCCCAAAAAAATGTTAAAAGGCACGGGATGAGGCCACCGCTGCCGGGCCGGTCGATCCGCTAACCGTGCGGTTTGTCGCACCAGCGGAACGCTGGCCTGGCGGCGGGTCGAGCGGCACCGGGCTGTCGCGAACCACCAGCCGTCGGGCTCTGTCCCGAGCCGTCAGCCGCTGGGCTCTGTCCCGAGCCGTCAGCCGCTGGGCTCTGTCCCGAGCCGTCAGCGGCTGGGCGGCTCGGCTCTGTCCCGAGCCGTCAGCCGCCGGACTCTGTCCCGAGCCGTCAGCTGCCGGGCTCTGTCCCAAACCGTCAGCGGTTGAGCTCTGTCCCGAGCCGTCAGCCGCTGCGCCCTGTCCCCAGCCGTCAGCCGCTGGGCTAGCCGCCAGGCTCCGTCCCGAGCCCTGTTCCGCCATACCGCCGCGGTCGGCGATCGGCTGTCCTGCGCGCGCCACTCACGACCGCACCGGCCGCGCCCGTCCCGTCGCCGCGGGCCATCTAATACATCAGGCGTGCCGGCATCCCTACCCGCCCGGCCGGAAAACAAGTGACTCTTCCGCGTCACAAGCGCCGCTGCCAAAACAGCGCGCGGCCGCCTCTGTCGCCCTGAGTGGCAGCGGGGCGTCGGCGTCGGCGTCGGCCCGGCAGGCAGAGCCACACCTGTCCGTCAGAAGTGCGACGCCAGCACAGACGGCTCCCGCCAGAGCGGACGGCGGGGGTCCGGTGTCCGGTGTCGGCGGCCGATATGTAGGTACGGTGTCATATGTCAACTGACAGCATGTTACTGGAACTTTATAGCCCCCCCCCCCACCTCATAAAGAAGTCCTTGAATCTCGGTCCCTCTATTTTCAGATTCCTGTTTTTTAATCGGTAAAATATCTGCTGCCGGAATGGCCCACCAGATTTAGGCAACTTTGTTGCTTGTGGTTAATTATTTGCTAGGTTTGAGTTGAACTTGAATATTTGGCGGCGTTTGTGGTGCCCCTGAGCTTCGATGCGTCCCGGAAATAAAGGTTATGTTGACCAAAAATGAAATTGTGGTGCCCTTTGCCACGATATTTTGGTGCCCTATAGGCCCAAGAGGGGGGGGGGGGGGGGTCATGGACGGCAGGCGCGTGACGAGAACGCATTAGAACACGAGACGACATTAGGTATCATGAGTCAGCTCGCCTGCAGCGTCATCAGTGATCCAGGGTCAGGTGTGCGAGTTTTGATGCTGACAATTTTAGACCGCCAAGAAGCCAGGGAATACTGGTTAAACGACGCTATCAAACAAACATTGATGACATTGTCAACACTCGGCGTCTCAAGCTGTGTTTAAGTTCACAAATGCTTATGATTGTGCTATAATCACCAGTGATCGCAAGCACAGCATCAAACGTTGACTATTGAAACATATCCAATAATTGCCTGGTACCGTGGTTCCACCAATATCTCCACGTATATGACAGGTCGATAACAGCCATCACAAGAACTCTGAGCTCACAATGCCGAACAGCCAGGAGCTCAAGGCTTTCCTTGTTTGAATCAAGGACATGAGGGGCTCAGGTGTCAGGTGTCAGCTACCCTAAAGAGCCGGCAGCTGCAACACGTGGTCGCGTGTCCGGTTCAATAGAGTGCCGGGTCACTTTGCCGGCGCGGTGCCGTTTCACGACAGATTTGTCAGGAAGTATGAGCCATCGACAATAAAGACAAGGCAAAAAGACCTGAACAGCAAAGAAGCAGACCCGGGCAAAGCATCCCTGATTATCTTCCCCATGCTCCAATGACGCTATAGGCTCCATATTCATCCTTCATTATACCGGCTGCAGATATCAACGCGCGCCTCACCAGCTTGAAACGGAATATCAGACGGACGCGCCTGCAAGGGTGCAGCATTCCGCAGCACATCGGTCAGATTACTCCCTTTCAGTGGTTCCTCAGAGTGCACGGAAGCAGCACGCCCCTGTCAGCCGTAACTCGGATGTGCACTTCTGTAACTGCAGTCCATAGCCCTCGCCGGACGGGACCTATTTTCGCTCGCGTCGTTGCCGAGGGAGAGAGGGGAGGGGGATCTTGTCATTTCGTACAAATTGAGCTAGAGCCGCGAAACGGAAATAAGTAAGAAGCTTAGTGTCAAGGGAATCCAGCTATTCCGGCCTCGCTAGTTGAGCTCAACTTGTGCTTTTCCTCTCATACACATTTCAGTGGCGAAAAAAATGATGCAGCCTCCCCGCTTACAAATCGGTACTTTTTTGACAACCATGCACAAAATTACACTCTGGATAACATTCGGTGCATAAATCGTCTAGGGCCTAGGACCATAAATGCTTATCCATAGTTATCAGACTTGGTGACCTTGTTCCGTCCTGACAACCATCACAAGGTTTTTAACCAGTCACGAACGACCTGAAAGGTTATAGGTAGGTCACTAGCCAATAAATAAGTCTGTTTCGGTACACTTAAATCAATGGCCTGTCAACGTCGCCTGTATATCGTAAGATTAGCAGTCAGCAGTAGCAGTAGCAGTAGCGGTAGCGGCAAGATTAGTCGTGATCATCGAAACCACTGGTGATGGCTGATCAGCTGGGTGATCTTCATCATTAAAATAATCATTCGAGTCTGCTCTGAGCGATCCTGAGAAGCACAGTTTCGGCGACCACGTCGTAGCTCAGCGGCTCAACATGACGTGGGGCCATTTATTTGCGAAAAACAACACGCAACACGCCGGCTAAGCCAAAGGCTACGACGCTATCTCTTATCGCTTTGTTATTGTGACATCAGACATGCCGTTTCGGGGTGGCACCCACCCACCTAACGAGGCGACGGCCAAAACAGAAGCTCGTGCAGTTGTGCACCGCGTTTCCGCTATGGACGGCAAAACATCGGTCATTGTATGCACCGCCGCTACACTAGGCACGTCTGAAGTAGCACTAGCTTACCAGTACTGACGGGCTGTGCGTGCTGTCATCATGACTGGCGGTAAAATGGGCATAATCTGACATCAACAAGATGCGCTTCATTTGACGAGTGTGCCCTCACCTGGTCTGACGAGACATGTACATTTTGCCATAGTATGCGTGATGTTCAGGCGGAGCATCACCAAGACTGACAATGCCAAAGCGCCCTCTTACCATGAATGGCAGGATGTGCGTGTTCTCACTAAAATCTAGATGATGTAGGCGAGCTATCATCAAGATCTATGACATGTGGGTGTGCTCTAACGAAGACATAGATTATGTCGGTGTGCTCTAACGAAGACACAGATGATGTCGGTGTGCTCTCACCTGGGCTTAGATGACGTCGATGTACCCTCATCAAGGCCTGAATGATGTGGACGTGCTCTCACCAATACTTGGACGATGTGGGCATGCTTTCACCAAGACCTGGACAACGCGAGCGTGCTCTCACCATGACTGGGAGGATGTGGGTGATCTGACCGGTGAGTTCGAACACGATTACTGAGGTAGAGATGGTGTGCGTGACGGAGCCGGCTAGCGCGGCGGCACCGACGATCGAGTAACCACCTGAGGCAGCGGCACGCAGGCGGTGTTAGAGAGCGGGAATGCGCGTCGGCAGACGACACAAACGCCCGACGTCAGGATGCGCGGTTGCGTGATATGAGTGCAGAATGTAACGATGTGAGTACAGCGTACGATACTGAGTATGAGTATATGAGTTCTTATGCTAAGATATCAATCCTAAATATGCCAGAACGTACTGATAAGGCAACTTTGGAGTGCAAGCATTGGTTATATCGACAGCACTCAACGTTTCAAGCTGGATTTATGGCCACGAGTGAAATGTGAAGTGGGATGACTCCACAGCTTATTTCCCCCGGTAAAATGAAGATCGATAACTGAAATTCAGAGCTCCTAACTCATAATGCCGCAAAACGGGAGCTGAAGACCTTTGTTTCCTGTATCGAGTAGAGTTACGTGCTGTCAGACAAAGAATAACTGTGTGAGAGAACAGAGTTGGGATGAATAGGCACACGCCGTCAGAAAGCAGAGGGGTCCCTTCATGCCTGACACAGAAACTCCGCCACAGAGAACAGACGGGCCACCACGAGGGACATATATGTGCCGCCAGGGACAACAGAGACATGTTGTCATGTGGCGCGGGACGTGTCGTCAGAGACAACAGGGACACGTTGTCATAGAGCGCCGGGACGTGCCGCCAGGGACAACAGAGACACGTTGTCATAGAGCGCCGGGACGTGCCGTCAGGGACAACAGAAACACGTTGTCATAGAGCACCGGGACGTGCCGTCAGAGACAACAGAGACGTTGTCATAGAGCACCGGGACGCGACGTCAGGGACAACAGAGACACGTTGTCATAGAGCGCCGGGACGTGCCGCCAGGGACAACAGAGACACGTTGTCATAGAGCGCCGGGACGTGCCGCCGGGGACAACAGAGACACGTTGTCATAGAGCGCTGGGACGCGCCGTCAGAACAGCCATCTGCCCTCCGATAAGGTAGACACGCGACTAGTGAGGGAATAAACGCACCAGACGTAGGGTCAAGGCAAACTCTGCGTGCCCGTAATGGTGGTGCGCATATCGTGGAAGATGAAGCAAATGTGTAACAGGTTGAAAATTTCAGCTTAAAGTATCTTATGACAAGCGACCGGAACCTTTTTGCGAGCTGGCTATCAAATTCGTTTCCGATATTTTTATGCAGGTAAAACATGGTTTAGATTGTCCGTTAAAATTTGAAATAATGTTGTTTACTGCAACTATTTTACAACTCATTTTCATTTATATGATACTTTTAAGTACAAATGGGTTTCACGGCATGCACACGATGAGTTATGGCCTGCAACTGTTATGTAGCTTTCGTATTGCGTTGTTTTCGTAAGTTTCCTGTCAGTTGTGTGCATTGAGGCATGTCGTGAAAAACTGAGGGCAGGTTCCGATCTTATTCTCTCACTACAAATGACTTCATACAGCGTTGTCTGGCGATTCCTATGCCAATCTCGCTGTATGCATTGCCAATTTCATGCTTCATTATCCACAAAGAGAGGTACATATCTTTCCACATCAGCCGTATTGCCGGGACCTGAACTCGATCTCACAGCATGGTGGGCGCCCTCGGACTGGCTGCAGACTGATTGACCTGACTGGCCAGTCAAGCCCGGCCATTCGCTGCCGCCGCTCTCGTCCGCCGGCCGGTCCGGAGCTCCGGTGCAACTGGAGCCTCCAGCCGGAGCGGACGGTCCAGAGCTCCGGTGTAACTGACACCTCCCGCCGCGCGCAAGGCCCAAAGCTCTGGTGTGACTGGTGTCTCCAGTCTGAGCGCACCGTCCAGAGCTCCGGTGCAACTGGTGCCTTCCGCCAGAGCGCACGGTCCAGAGCTCCGGTGTAACGGACACCTCCCGCCGGAGCGCACCGTCCAGAGCTCCGATGCAACTGGCGCCATCCGCCAGAGCGTACGGCAAGGCTGGTGGATGCGCAGACCGATGCGGAGACTGGGTTGTATAGTCCTCAGACAACACGGCTCCATCACATGCATTTGCCTGCCGCTCGTTGCGTTTGACTATGTGGCCGAACCTGTTGCGTTACGCGTATAAGCGATGTTCTTTTTACAGCACATGCCCTGCTTGCGATCGTCCACAGAATGCATACAAGTCACTGGACGCATTGTACCCACACCTAATTTTAGCGGAGTCTCTAATAGGCACCAAATCCAGTTCTGCTTCATCGTACAATCTTCCGCTGGCGTAGCAAAAGATCACGCCGGCATTCGGTTAACGTTTCTTTAAACCCCAATTTGCACTGCAGGCTTTCATTTGCATCTGAGCTGAGTCCTCTTACGGAGATCAAAGCGCTCATGCTGAGATCGATGGCTCCAATCAACCAGAATGGAGAGCTGGTAATTTCTCTTTGATATTCAGAGACGAGTTTCTATACCTAGATGACCGATCGCGTATCAAGTAATTGTTACTAGAACATCCAATGCGCTCGCTGCCAAGCGTGCCAAGACGTAAATTGACATAGTTTGCTTATCTCAAACTGTCAGACATTCCGTGCTTCACTCTAAATTCCCTTCTTAGCACCTGACATTCTGTATTTCTCAATTTCCCTTCCACAATGGCCGAAGCTGTGCATGAGTACAATTAATTCTTGCCGCACGTAGGGCATAACAAGCGTAAACAGTTTTGATGATCCGTAGCTTATCAATGTCATCAGAGTTCTCAGCATTATACACAAACCACTTTGACCTTGCGCACTTTTCAGAAAATAAACCAACCACCTGTCGTTTTTTACGAACCAGTTCGATGCCTTCCTTTGAGGCCAACAAGTGAGATGATGAAAGGCGCGTAATCATCAGACCGATGGTGTCGCAAATTAAGCTAGGCAATCTTGGTAACTCACACATATTGGTCAGTGCAAATAAATTGTTATATTCTTGTTGTATACAAGTTTTGCAAGACACAATTTTAGTTAAGACAGTAGTAATAGCTTTATTCCTGGAAAAAAACAGAATAATGGATAAATAGTTAGGTTCTGCTATTGTTTCGATAAAGGCATGTTGCCGAAATATTAACCTAACTACATCACTATTCTGCTGGTTTTTCTGCGAGGACGAAGGATATTGCTACTGTCATATCTATGTGAATAACATTCCTCGCTAACGCACTGAACAACTTACCAAAATTTTATGATGAAGCTTCCGTGCACATAAAAAAATCGCATTGCTTAAAGATCGATGACTGTTGAGAATGGATCATCAGTACCGTATTTCAAAACGCTTTTTTCGATACGTGAACTGTGATTTGTAATCAATTCTGAACTAGTTCCCCATTTACCTTTGTGTATTTAAAATGCAAGATTTGTGCTCGCCAAGGTCGCATATTGATAGTGAAACCGGATTCACACGTCACTCTATGGGGATGCTTTGTCAATAAGTCAAATCAAGATAAACAACCCAAAGGGAATTCACAACTAAAATACTTTCTGAAGACATACTTTTTCGTTCAAGTCATTCATACTTGATCACTGAATGAGTTCAGCAACAATACTGGCATAACTTTGGCTTCCCTTTCCCGGATTGTTCAGGAAATCATGACGACCGCCTCCGCCGAAGTGGTGACCTGTACTGCAGCACGTTGATGAATTTGTCGGGTTGCGGTGGAGTCAGAACGGACATGATCCAGGCACCAATAGGAACACCGCGGCTCCATGGCCACTGGAAGATATCAGAACCAAGGGCACCACGAAACTGAATTTGAGCTGTCATGAGGCAAGTTCTCGTTGTCAGCGAAGATGGTCTTGGGCTGTTAGCGGTATAGCTTAAATTACAATTTTATTCTGGAAGTGACAAGCGCACCACGCGAACACTCCATTAGACGACAAGGGTGGCCATAGACGCTATGTTTGCGTCGAGTACAATCATGCATGCGTTATCGCTGATAGGTTAATCGTTACGTCATTTCTTGAAATGCGTGCCCACCTGTAAAATTTTGGTGGACATATGCCTACTGTACGGGTAAGGTTCCTCAAATCATTACCCAGGTCTTACTAGCTATCTCCGTGCTAACACGGAGGCTACGAACGAGGCGATGCTGCCGATAGGAAGCACGGGCCGAATCCTACGGGGCCGGTTCCCAGCTGACTCTCCATGCACGCGAGCTCTTTCCGGTCGGGCTCGGACGGGGCGGCGGTCACGGCTGGCGTCAGCTGAGCAGGGTCGCCTGCGAGCGTCCCGAAAAGGAGGGCGCCTCTGGGAACGCGTTGTCCACGGCCCGCGGTCCGACAGAGGTAAGCATCGTCTGCACTGGGCTGTTTATGTATGGGTCGTGGAGGTAATGTTGCAATGGTGAGCATAGCGACTGGATGCTTGTGAATGTGGTACAGTGACACCGCTGCGACCAGTGTTGCTGGAGGGGATCATCGTGTGCGTGCTGCTCTGAGAAGAGAAGAGTTTTGTCGGGGCGTGTCGCGGCACTGAAATATGAGAGCTGTGCTCAGTGGGTGTTTTCGCAGGAATGTTAAAACGCAAATTTGTACTGTGCCCATTGGGAGTGCTTGATTAAAGGAAGTAGTATGCCGCCTTTGAAGCATATTTTAAAAACATACTCTTGTGAAACCTCAGAACTAGTTCGTCTAATGCTAGCATTGGTTACTGCCATTGCAGGACTGTTAATATGAACCAAGGAGGCCAATTTTAATTATCTTAAGGTCGAAATAACGCTGCCGAGGCTTTGTTACAACATTACGTTTCTTTCCTGCAGTCGCAGCTATCTTTATCCAGGAAACCACTGAAAATCTCCCTGGGTGCGAAAGAAAACGTTCGTGATTGGCCGATCGGGCAGAGGCCTGTTACCGAGAGGCGCATTGTTTGAAGCTTGAACTAGTGCGTCACAAGGATCATGTGATTCTTCTATCTCCAAAACCAAAGTGCACCTCGAAAAGAGACATTTTGGCGAACGTCAGAGGGGGGAAATGAAAGCCGCAGTATAACGTTTTATCGAATTCGCGGGATAACATCCTCATGTTCGCATATTGTGTTGTCTAAGCAGAATGTCTCGAGCATTCGCAGCATTTAGTTCACAAACATTTTGATACCTTCGAGTGTGACAGAACACACAAAATAGAAATCAATGCAAATTAATGTATTTCTTTCATAGTGGTGGGCAGGGAGTCAAATGAGATTTCTCCCGCAGGGTCGCTACTTCAACTAAACATCCTAAGCTATTCAGGAGGACTTCGAAAAGAGATTGCATTGCTGATCAACTTGCACACGTCTGGTGTAGCAATGAGTAAACGAACAAAAAAGCGGGGTACTCACTTGAAATGATAGCACGTGCCCCAAAAAGGGGTGTTGCAACGATAAGCTGAATATTGTTTGGGATAATTACGCAAAAGAATGCCCGTGGATTTTGTGTTTGGTCAACAACACCACGTTAGCACGTATCCAAGCCTGACAGACATGCATTTTAATTCACATTTGTCCCCTTCTATGTCCACCTCAAGCATGCACGGAGCTCGCCAGTAAATGACGTCATGGATGAATCATGTCACTTGCGAAGCCAAAAAAGGTACGTACAAATTAATCCCAGCTGAATAATTACATTCACCCCGAAGCACAACCGTCACAGTGAGTGAAGGACGTATTTCGACAGCATATGTTGGAAGCTGAATAGGAAAGATGGCCATTCCTGCTCTCACAATGAGAAAAAATTTGTTTGTCTCGGGATATGAACGACTTTTTCTCAAAACGTCTGTGGGGGAGGGGGGGGGCACCACAACTGACACACAACTGACACAACTGAAAAGAAAACTCCCCTCTGCATTAAGAAAACAAAGTTGCAGCTTCAGCTGAATTTGAACTGCAGGGCACAATAGTTCGTTAATGAAACTGCAATGGCACAGCAGAAGCAAAGGCACCGGTTGCACCACAAACTGTTCTAGATCACGCAAATATGGAAACATCATTACACTCACCGCCACGCCCGTGTTGTGAACTGCATCTAAGTGGCAACACGCAGTGGCGATTCGAGCTGTGTTGCTATGTGGAAGCTGTCGCAGCCCAGCAGCTTTGCGGGAAGCAATGTTCCCCTGATTGGATCTCCCCGGGATTGTCGCACTTCTTGATTGAACAAACTTCTCCGAACTTTGCGGAATATCTGTGGCAACTGCCAACAATTCCTGGATCGTGCGATGTCGGAACAGACCGTCTCCGTGAACACGCCATCCAGAGATTTGGAGGAAAGGCCGGCTAACGCCACTGGCAACCGTCCCAGTGCATGCCTGATGTTTCTCCGACTTTGGAACCGGGCTAAACGAACACCAACACGGTTAATATAACAATGAAATACTTCATGAGAAGAATAACACAGATACCCAATGCATACGAATAAGGATGGGACAGACGGTCTGGCCAACCTGAGCTCCAAGCTCGGTGGTTGGAGGTTGGGGGGGGGGGGGGGGAGCGGGCAACTGTAGTTGCAGACATTGGCTGTTACAAATGTGCGTAGTGTGGGTCACGTCGGCTGCGTAACACAATGGTGGAAAACATTTGGATTGGCTTGGCGTATGCAGTACGGTGGGCGAAAAGGGTTGAACTCCCAAGAGTTCTGACAATAATCATGTTCAAGCAGCGGCTGGCTGAGTGGTTGCGACAACAGAGTAGCGGAAACTGGGTGGTCTGATTGTGAGCATTGGTTATTGTGCTTTCGTCAGCCGAAGAGGCGGAGTTTGGCCTCCGCAGAATGTACCCGCGCCAGCCGTATTACACGGGTCCGGGGGCTCGGCTCCGCAGGCTCGTGAACACACGCCACCGAGCCGCTCCACAGCCGAGCCCCCAGCGGTAGAAGCTGGCAAAACGGACCGAGTCGCGGCGCGGGACGCAGAGCGCCGAAGATGACGCTCCACCCGACGGACCAGCTCCGGCGACTGGGGAACGGCTGAGCGAAATGGCCCGTCAGACCACCAAAACAAATACCACGGTCGCATTCAGCGAAGCCATCCAACATCGTTCTGAGCGGTGATTTGCAAAAGAATGTGCTCTTCTCGACAAAACGAAAGTAAAGATCAGAGGCCGGCAACAGCTGAAGGCAGCCGCTGCCCACAGCGGTGAGGGAACCCAGAAAAAAATGCCGTTGGCAACGTGCGGTTCAAAGGGCCGCCTTACGCAGTGCTGTGACGGGTCGGACATGTTGACCTGACCACACGCCAGGTAAAGAGCGTCGTCCTCTAACTCTAAGCTGTGGGCAGGCGAGCAGAGCACGCAGCGGACGGCGGCGCGTCCGTGATTCACGGGAGGTCAAAGGGCCACCGATACGAGGCAGGTTTGACTAGCCACGCCGTGTGATTACACATCACCGTCACTCCGCTAATGCGACGTCGAGAATCGCGGCGTCGACGAATAATGTCATTGTCTGCAGCCCCACGTGAGCACGGTCATTACCTGCCACTTCGTAAATTATGCATTGCCATTTCCCCCACGCAATGCCAACGGCGTGTTTACCTCGGATATCCCACCATCCTGTTTGATTTGCAATTAACTTGCAATTAACTTGCATTTCACTTAAGCGATGTCAGGCCGCATGCACGCGTTGAGAATACCGAGAGAACACGTGACGCTGATGTCGGAAATGATGATGTTATATATTGCCGAAATACCCCAAATCTTGCTAATACTATTTGCCGCTGCAAGTCTCGTACGTGCAGCAGCAATCACAATGATATATTAAATTAACCATTCGTAGCAAAGGTATTCCTGTTGAGGGGTTACCTGTTTTGACAACGTTTCCTAGAACTGATTTAGGAGCTGCAAAACAAAATTATAGTTCTTTTGCTCTTTGAGACTGCGACTTTGGAAAAAGCGGAACTTTTCCGGCGACGCTTTGCTGGCGGGTAGCAGCTTCTGAGTTTGCACGTCAGTGTGTGCGAAAGTTGGAGCAAACGTTCTGGTTCATCTATTTAATTCAATTTACTCGTGTTACTGCCATCACGTTAAACAGACAGATATTAATATATATATATATATATATATATATATATATATATATATATATATATATATACATATAGTAAGTGCCATCGAAGGCATTCGATCAATTTTACATGGGGCATTCAGTAGATATTTACAAGCTTTCCAAATGTTGCTACTTTTAACTGGACTTGTAACCTTACTAGTGGCGTGCAGGTCAGTAAGCTGACAGGTGACTTGGTCGAATGAAATAATGAGTATCGTCTGATGCATCGGAAAATCTCCACTGATTCAATGGTTCTTCAGGGGTTAAGAAGGGAGAGATAAAACTATCAAACTGGATGTCAGCGGCGTAGTGCCACCATAAATAGCCATTGGTGAACAAAAACGTTATTACTCACACTTTTTTAAGATCCAGTTGTTTCTACTTTTGTTAAACTTTTGACAACACTACGGGCGTGCATGATCACAACTGCCTGCGATATACCAGAAGATACTGATGTGTCGGCAGGCACTGAGAGAATTGTTTTCCACACAGCACGACAGTGGAAGGCAGACGTCAGGCACGCGCCGGCTTGACGTGCCGCATCGGAGCTGACCGTCGCCACTGACCTGGACGGATGGGGGAGATGTGGCCTCCGTAGCGGACCCCCTGCGGGAACCACATTGCCAGACACTCGCCGACCAGACGGCCGAACGCCGCGCCCATCTTGAACACGGGGATGAAGATGCCGGACGGCACCGGGAGGGTGGACGCCACCACAGCCATACAGAACTGCAGCGAAACAGCAGCGGCAGCCGCGTCATCACCACGGCAGGGTGAGACATCGGTCCTGCTGTCATACAGAACTGCGGCGAAACAGCAGCGGCAGCCGCGTCATCACCGCGGCAGGGTGAGACATCGGTCCTGCTGTCATACAGAACTGCGGCGAAACAGCAGCGGCAGCCGCGTCATCATCGCGGCAGGGTGAGACATCGGTCCTGCTGCCATACAGAACTGCGGCGAAACAGCAGCGGCGGCCGCGTCATCACCACGGCAGGGTGAGACATCGGTCCTGCTGCCATACAGAGCTGGGCGGAACAGCCACGACCGGCACCTCCACACTATGGTGGGACGTGACACCGACACCGCAGGCGCACAGAACTTGAAACGAGCATCAGCGGACAGCACCTGAGCACCGCGGCAGGACGTCGCACCGTTAACATGACCGTACTTTGCGGCAGGACACCAGTGGCTACATGCCACTCGTCTTTCTAAATTAAAAAAAAACAGGGCGGGCTAGCACTATGCAACGAAGCACGACCACAGCAAACCACCAGCGGGCCGTGAATTGTATAATATTATGCAAGCGTACAAATGCTGATTTCTAAGGAAGCGCTAATCATTTCTCTATCGGGCACAACTCCTCCAACACTGTAAGTTAAACCCTCTGGTTGCCAGGATTCGTTTAAGACCCACTTTCTTATCAACGCCTTGCATGTTAAGCAAGTCAGCAACCGGAGCTCTCTGTGTCTGCCCGGGGTCCAACGTCTGTTCTTTGGAAGTGCTAGGAACCCTGTGGATCATGGGAGAGGAGCACATATAAATGATTTTAGCGGCATTAGCAGCCACATATCTGTGCTCGTTGAAAATGATTAGGACAAGCGAAGGTAGAGACTGGCTCAAGGTGAAGATCATCAAAAGGGCCAGTGACGAAACATATATAATAACCGATCTTAGCAGCATTAGCAACCAAATACCGATGGTCCTTCAAAGTGATTTGGACAAGCAAAGGTAGAGATTGGCTCAAGACGAAGATCATCAAAAGGACCAATGACGTAATGGCATCCTTAAATGCGACTGCGACGATTATATTTGCAGGGTCAAATAAAGCGTTAAAAAAACTGTTTTCCAACTTTCTGTCTCAATATGTCCTGGATTTTGTCATTTGTCTTCCTTCTAAGTTCCTGAAATTCCGTCTGGATATAAACATAAGTTATAAGACAGACTGACTAGAGCAGCACGCTGTCGTCGCATTCATTTTGTTCCGTCCCTTTTCGCTGAAATTGTTTTTTCTTGAAATGATCCCGTGGAATCATTTCGGTTGCGTGGCATACCATTTCTTCCTCTTTTGTGGCACATCAGGGTTATTGTGATATGACAGGTACCGAACATCTCCTATTGCCACTGAAATGGAAAAGCAAAGCTGCAATTACGGCTCCAGTCCAGGGCACCCACTTGTCTTGCTAGAGACCGGTGTTCAGATATGAATGCGGGCATTTCAACTGACATGGTTCTAGGCAGTCACGTTTTTTTGCAGGGCTTACGATTCTATCGCGCACTTGAGCGCACGGTGTGTAAACTGTCAATTTTCGCCACCTACAGGAAATGATTTTACATACGTTTCGAACGATGACCACTCGTTTGACTTTTTCACAAGCGTACGCGTTTCGTGCGCGAGCTGCTGTCGCCTACATGAACTAGGTCTTCGTTGTATTTAATAGCAATCGCTGTTTCATCTTGAATAGCATAACGAGTTATTTTCAAGTTTTAAAAAAGTTAAGGTTAAGTCAAAACATAAAATTACGCTATCGACACTTCGTGGCGGCACTACATTTCTTTCTTGCTTGGTAGTCCCAGAGTGTATCCAGAGTCCGCGACAACTGCTGTTGTCACGACCGTTGCCGCCATGAGCACCGTTGTCATGACGACGGCAGAATCTGCTGAGGGCCGCTGTCAGCTGTTCGAGTTAGCGGTACCACTTTTGGTTTGTTTTAACCTGCACCTTGCGGGCCTGCGGCCACAAAAGGGCACCTCTACTGGTTTTGAACGACGTCAGTCAAAATGAATGCTTGTGATTGGCACAGCGGGCGGCAAAGATTAGTTACCGAGAAGCGCATGGTTTGAAGTTTGAACGGTGTGTGACCTTCGACCATGTCATTCTCCGTTTCTGAAAGCTCAGCTGCGCTTTGAAAAGAGCCGCGTTGCTAAACGTTTCAGGGGAAAACCAAAGCAAAGCGCCTACTTATTATAACGTATGGTTGAAATGGCAGGACAAAAAGTTTCATGTTCGCAAATCCTTTTCTCTAAAAAGTGTTTCCAGCTTTCGTAGCGTTTGGTACACAAGCATTTTGACAATTTGACATGTTGCAAATATCACAAAATACACACATTGGAAAAGGTAGGCAATTTAAATGTATTTATTTCGTAGCGGTGGGCAGGAAGTCCACTAAGATTTATCCCGCAGGAGCGACCACTTCCAATTGAAATCATGGACTGTGCAGATGGATTTCGAGTGAACTGGTATAAAAAAACCAGTAGCAACGAAATCGGACGCGTCTGATCCAACAATAAGTGACAAACACGAAAAATGTGGCATGACCCTTTAATGCGGCTGATTACACCGGTACTCTGGATAGCAAGGCTTTAGTGCTTGCATTCCGCGTCAAGACAGCTTTTGATGTAACGTCGCTCTGTGCATTTGATGGAGAAGTTCTAAAACAGCATGCAATGCGTCCAAACAATTTGTGGTCTGTGCACCTCACAAATACCGCACAAAAACAATGGAGATGCACCCAATGCAATACGCCTTTTCGTAACGTCGACAAACTTGAATCGCGGATTGCAGAATGTGGTTCGGACTACACGTAATAACCACTGGGGCCACATTCAACACAACTAAAACACACCAGAACAGTTGCCATTTGCCTTGCGAACGGCCAGGCTCTCTGCGAAACCCTATGCAGAATGCCCGATGGAAACGGTTTGTGACTTTTGATCCCGGTAACATTTCATTTGGACCCACTACAAACTACGTTTGCCGTCAAGTTTTCACCAAAGTTTACCTTATTTAAACAAACTTCGTGTGATCAGATGCAAAACAGATGCGTAAAAATATCCCAAAGCGCATCGCGGTATTCAATATTCGAATTTTGCGTCGCATAAGTCGTCCTATAAGATGCTCTCAAAGTTTTCTCCATTTGGCATAGGCTCTTCGTTCTGAGTTCCTTGGTCAATACAGGCTTGTTCAGCGCGAATAAATTCAAAGTTGTCGCATAGTTAGCAGGCAAAATCAGCGATCCATAATCACACTTGTTATCGAGTGTTGTCGCCGGGCTTTCATTGGCGGGACGCTGCGGAGTGCAGAACGATGTCATCAGGGCCATAAGCTGCAGGACACTCCAGAGTACTTGGAGCTCATACAGCAACGGGCCGCGAAACGCTTGTAACGCGGTGCGTACTCCTGCCTCTCAAATGCCGCTGGTGATCACTTTTTACGGCAGCTCCAAAGAATGCCTGATAGGACTTTGTGATGCGTGTTGAAACCAGAACGATTAAAAGAAACCGCAAAACACCACTGATTTCATTCCTTTTGAACCTCGCAACGTGTGCATCGGGCTTATGCTTTGCTGGCAGACGCTGACAGCATTAAACAATGCCTGATATGAAGCATGAACGATGGGTGCTGGCAACGAACCTGCCGGTGTCTGCGCCATACAGCTAAGTGTCCCTGCGTGACAGTTCGTGCACGCGCCGCTAAAATGTCGCATGTCGCCATATTCCCTATGACCTGCGCTATTGTAATCACAGCAGCAGCCGGTAAGCACTTTCACGTGATGCGTGTTCGGAAATTTTACTTGTTTTCGTATTTTCAGCCGTCTTTGTCCACAATATTGTGCGCAGTTGGCAAGGACATGACCAGTTATGCTGGGAAAACTGACGGGATTATGGACACGTTAACACCCGTCCGGGTGGTCGGATACATACCCTTCGTTCGGGGGGTCAATATGACCCCGCTGAGATCTCAGGAACTAAAAAAGATACCCCATATAAAAAACTACTCCACATAGCGAGCCCTAGAATAAAAAATGTTTGAGCTTTGTCTGGCCTTCAAAACTGACCCTAGGTTAATGGAATTTATTCATTGAATTGTTGTGTTGCCTAAGAAAGCATCTGCGATATGCATGGTCTCGTCTGACGCTCCGTTGTTGCTGCAGATTGCACGATTCCCTAGGCACTGACTACGCAGAACCTATGGCCTGACTTTGGCCTACCGTAGGTCAGCGACCTTACAACATACACCCAATTTTTCAATACCAAACGATCCACTATTCAGCTATCTACAGCTATGCAAAATTTGGTGCGGCTGCGCCGCGCCAGTCAGAAACCATTCTGGAAAAACCTTCGGGAGGAGTCAGTTTGACCCCCGCCAGAGCCCACGTTAATGCACCACTACATGTATGCATTTTGAGTCCTCCTGAAGCGACTGTTTACCATGTATACTGAGATCTTAAGTCCGGACAGATATGAAACGAGTACGAACAGACGTGAGATCGTGGTAGTTGTACGGACAGACAATTACCACCCCATGGAAATATATCATTACAACGTCAGGTTCCAGAGTGTTTTTACCTAATGTTGATACCCCTGTCGCCTTGACCCTTGTCCGATCAAATTAACTATGGTTCTCATCATCCATTTAAGAAGCGCCCAGTGTGCTTATCTTTAGCTCCGTGCATCGTGTCATTTGTTTCCTGATTTGCACTTTGATGGACCGGGCGCTCACTCACAGCGTAATGCCACTAATACCTTATATTGAAATCTAACGTGAGCATTTTGGAGACGTGCTGTGAGTTTCGCCACGACCTCCGCAGCCGAACATGCCTATAAACGTTCGGTTTTGTTGCATGGATGCCGTTCAAAGGTGATGAGCTCGTAAGCAGTCACTCTTTGCAAGCGACTGATCCCTGCCCTGCATTCTGGTGAAACGCCTATTCCACACATCGCTTCTTTCACACAGTGTTTTGCCTTCCGAATACAAATCCAGGACGGAGGGGCGATATTTCTTATTTTGTGCAAAGAAACGCACCTCACTATTAACAATGATAAAAGACCGTTCGTAACACGTTTATATCCATGTCTTTGACCATGTCACCTTAAAAATAATTAAACAACACATGGCATGATTGCAGTCAAAATGAAAACATCCACCAAACTAAGCATTTTCCGTAGGTCACGAACACCCGAGCCCGACACATAACCTACCGAAGTTTCTGTTAATTTTTCATTGTGGGTCCGATACAGTGACAAATAGTGATAACATCTATCCAATGTCACGTGTTTCACTGGTCATGGGTGCTCAGTCCTGATGCAAAAGCTGACAAAATGTGCGAGAGTATTAAGTGCTGATCTTTATCTCGTTCACATGTATTTGAAAGTCATCATGGTCGTAACTTAAATGTGAACGAATTTTGTCAGCGTTTTATGCTTCAGAAATCGTTTCCAGAACCCAGTTCGAGCCCCAGTCTCAATCTTTGGATACTGAATACTATTCCAGGTCCCAATCCTATCTTTTTGTTTTCAAATAAGTGCACCAAATGTCTGATCTATCCACGCCATAATCCTATTATTGGATTCCACGTTCCGAAACGTTAGAAGTCCGGACTCCAGTTTTAGTCTAACTGGAATGAGACCCTAGAGCGCACGTGCGTACAAACACAAAAAATGAGTTATGCACCTGCACAAAACACCCGCACCAACACACAGTCAGGGACACGCTGGCTGCACTGATCCGCGGCCCAGCCACGACCGCTTCGATTGTGCTGCCACCTATACCACCCCTGACCGACACCAGAGCACTCTACTGAGGGAGCGAGTGGTAGGATACGCACCGTGACTAAGATGTATATGCACAAGTTGATGTAGAAGTTGGTGTATGGATTTGTCCAGTGATCCACTGCTTCGGCTTCGTCTACAGAGAGCTCTTCAGAAGACCAAGTGAAGTTCGCGAATAACTCCAAAACCTGAAAGCCGGCACACAAAGATATGTTGACAATGACGACAGACATTAACGCTGAAACTTTAGAAACTTGCATTTGACTAGCCTTTCTCGTCTCATGGATCATAACTGTGGTCCATTAAATCATTCAATCTTGTAAAAGGCTGATCTTTTCTGGAATAATCCACTTGCAGATGCTGGCTTCATCAGACGCCGCCAAGATAATGCAAGAACAACAGCTTTAAACATTCGAAAACATCTAGGGGCATCGGCTCCAGTGGCGGTCATCGTGGCTTGCTACACATTTGAGACTATATAATACACCTGAACGTTTAAAAACCTGAAAATCACGCAGGCAAGGCAGGATCGCACACTGACAGCGCATCCCACGCCATCTACCGGGTGGGTTGTAAGCTTGAGCTCACCTTACGGGGGTGAGTTGAAAGGTTGCGCTCACATTACGGGGGGAGTTGAAAGCCTAAGCTCACTAACCTGATCATGAGTGGTCTGGTCGGCCGCGAGGAACTGCCCCAGACCCAGGGGAAAGGTGGCAGACGAGATCAACAGCGCCACCAGAAACGGGTACAGGAAGCGACTGTGGCAGGCAGCCGGGCGGCATCGGCAGCGGTTAGAGTGAGTCCTGCCACAGCCGTCCGGAGGGAGCGCGAGCGACACGCGCATCGCATCGGAGGTGCGGCGGCCGGGAGCGTCGACAGCAACGGGCGATTCGAAACTCAACGAGCAGCGCGCGTGCCGAAGGCTGGAAAAGGCGGGCGATGAATTAACAAACTCCCCGCCGTCGACTGCTGATACGTGAATGACGCTCAACCGCGCTGGCGGCGGCCGCCGACGGTTTTAGCAGAAGTGATTTGTCTAAAGACACGGATGGCTTTCGGCCCCAGCCCGCGGACGACGGTTTTGCTTCAAGGACAGAGATGTGAAACACTTACAACACAAACACATGCCTTACACACTGGCATTCCGAACTAAATCAGGCTTGAAGTGAAGTAGCTGGACAATACATTCAAGCAAGCTGTTGGAGGCACGTGAAGCCCACCGTCACGACCGCAAGCGAGCGCCGTGATAGAAATACACCAAACGAGAGCAGTTCGTTAACAATAACAGGTGAACACACTCACAATAGCGATTGTCACGGCTTTCACGGTTCGATGGCCACACCCCGCGGAACAAAGCCTAAGGCCGTTAGTTCTGACGCACTTTTTCGAGAGGAGAGGAAGCTCTTCCTGCAGGCGTTGCTTCTCATGAAGACAACGTATGTCCTGTGTAGCCACACGAAGAATGCACCAGCGAAGCCGGCCACAGCCCTGAAAGTCAGAAGGGTTAGTCGAGACAGCAGCGCGGACAGGCCACAGATGTTGCGATCACCAGCGAGTTTGTGAGACGGCTCCACTAACCCGCCCTACTGAACGTCGTAGTCTAGTTATCTGGCATGAGGCCGTCTCGCACACTGACTGATGCAAGCCACTATACGAAACGTCGCATTGTTATATAACGCATGCTTTTAGAAATGACCATGACAGGAAATTCTGCCAATGCCTACACCGTTGATGTATGTATGTCACTCGTGACAAGATTATTCCTTTCTAAACCGAATAACCTACAACACAGCTACTGGAAACGTACTCGGTGCAGTAACAACGGAAGAAAATTTTCTGGCAGAGTGTTGTGAGTTTTCAAAGGATATAACTTAGACTCAGCAAGTATTTCATAGCCAGTGTAAGACCAATGTTTTGCGAACCACGGTATACGACTCGCTGCAGATACTAAACCGGCTTACCCAATTAGTGCAAAAACAAACAGCTCTTGTGGATCAAATGGAAAATCCACCTTGAAGTCTGTCTTGAATAAGGCAGTTATCGTTTCTGAAAATGGTAAAGGTTGGAATTATTGCATGGAGTCAACGAGCGAAGCATATGTGGGAAGGGGGGGCGGGCAGCAAACATTTACCAAACTACAGTTTTTCCAAGCTCATCAGCTTTTCCTTTTCGTGAAAGGTGCGGCTAGTCTGCCTGGGATATTGTTTTTGAATAAAACGACGCAGAAATTCTGAGCAAATTTGTATGGATGCTGGTAACCTGGCCTGGTACTACTGGCCGTGGAATACTAGCAAACTGTGCAAAATTGCCACGAAGCATGTGAAGGGCGCGCGTTACGTGCATACCTCAGCACCAAATACCTACATAGAATGTCATACTTGGCAATCGCCACAAGAATGCAACGTAGATGTAACGTCCAGAAAACCCCGCGGATGTTTAACCCGTGACCGCCTGGGAGAGGGGCTGCCTCTCAAAGGCTCAGAAGTACCTAACATATCCATGCAGGTTGCCAAATTTCCAGCACCAATCAGAAAAATTTAAAACATTTTTGGCCATTTCTAGGTGCTACATCAGGTCACCGAAATACAATTTCATCGGTAAAGGCCAGGGCGACCTCCATTTTAGCAGCAGTGTACGCCCACCCAGGATTTTGGTACAGGGATCCTTGAAGGAACGCTATGGGTTTTAAAAGGCGCCATTCAAACATCTCTGGTGAGGTGGTCTTCATCGTCATTGATGAGGAGGAGTTATTGCCCCACAAACAACGGCGACGATTGGTCGTCACAACATGGTAATATTTCCTAAATCTGCTCTAAGTCCTGGCGTTTTGGCTGTCAAGATCCCTGCTTGGGCTGGCGGAAAGGACCTTGCTGCGGAATGGAAGGGCCACTTGCATGTTACAACTTTTTATCAACTATCAAACCAAGATTCAAAACTATTGCCAAACAGCACGTACAGAACGAAGCCCTAACAAATGATCTGAGTGTTCGAAGAGGCTACCAGCGACGCGAGGACGCGCACTCGGGAGAAATTAGACTACACCCTATTTAAGATATGATGCATCATGACATTAAGCTACAAGATGTGAGAAAGACGTCTGGGCATGAAACGCATGAAAGTATTTCTCAACATGAAATTTGAGCTGCGTGCCATGAACTGGCAGCTGCCACGCAATTCCAATGCAGCAAGGATAAGTACAATGCATTCCTCTTCGGCGTTTTTCCCCCTCCTGATCAAATCCATCAAAAGCATAAATGTTATTAAAACGGCGGCATTAATAGGCCACATTTGTCTGCCCAAATAGTCCTGTCGGCTCCAGCGTCCACCTTCCGATTCCCCAACCGGTGCCGGTTAGGGTTCGAGTTGCCGAGAGTTCGCTGCTTGCCCCAAATGAGATGACCTGCGGCCAGCGGAAGCGGTAGCGCCAAAGGTCACGTGACGCACCGGGCGCGACAGACCACACCGAGCACTGCGGCATTCTGCGGTTTTCTGCACTGGGTTAATATTTACCAGAATCAGGACGAGGAGTGCTCATGGTGCTCATACCCGTACCCAAAGACGTACTCATACCCGTATTCTGGAAATTCAAATACATCTACATATGTATATATATATATGTGTTGTGTGTGTGTGTATGTGTGTGTGTGTGTGTGTGTGTGTGGTGTGTGTGTGTGTGTGTGTGTGTGTGTGTGTGTGTGTGTGGTGTGTGTGTGTGTGTGTGTGGTGTGTGTGTGTGTGTGTGTGCGTGCTTTTGGAAATCTAAAATACGTTATTTATACACTACTTTTCGCTTTCTGACAATAAGTAATTTCCAGATGTGCGCCAAATATTCCTCATTATTCAAGGCAGTATCACAGCAAGTTAAATGTGAGACTAATACCAAGCTCACTTGGAAAAATCAAGCACGAGCAGGCAATAGACCGAGTTAAGCGTTCCACTCGACGCTGAACTTCGCCGATCTCGTTGGATCTTGCTGTCACCCACCCGGTCACGAGCAGCGGGGAGCGGGGGGGGGGGGGGGGGCGGGGCCGGAGAAAACCACGGAGAGCGTCCAGCTGTACTTTGCATACATCATTTGGGTGTGCGTTTGAAGTGCGTTTGAAAACTCCACGCACAGATCTGAGATTGTTTCTCAAAGGAGTCTCCTAACAATTCCTCACTCAATACTACAAAGGTTCACCGTACGAAATATTTGTATACCAGATATAGTGTTTGGCGCCATGGAAAATCCTGCGCTAGATTGCAATTGGTCCTCAAACCATTGCACACCTACCTTCATCCTCAAACCAGACGGCTAGAAGGCGGAACACCATGGCGCCGCAGACGGCAGCGAAGAAGCCGCGCCAGTAGTTCCGAACGGCAAAGTACACCGACGTCACCTCTATGCTGAACAACACGCCTGCAAAGGCCGGAGGAGGACGAGTCATATCCAGGCACGCGGAACCGGGCGCGCGGTGTCTTGCATCATGTGCCGACATCCCTGCACCGACAAAACACGGATGAAGCAGCTGTCTGAAAGGCAATAAGGTATGAGCCTATGTCCAGCTATGGTAGCTGCGTTATACTCCGTCAGAGGACAAAAATGAATACAATGAATCCCCTAAAATGAATTGTACTACTCGAAGCATCGTGCGTTTGGACGGGAAGTATCTTGGAGGCTGCTTGGAGGGGGTGGGAATGAGGAGGTGAAACGGAGACAGTTTGATTTTTGTTAACCGCCCAAGTGTGCGCAAGGAAGCATTTGTTCCCATTCAGATATCGCAGACATCAGTTTTGGTTACAATGATTAACATATACGGACATATACGGATGCATATCTTCACACTGTTTTTTGTGATTGCTTCTTTATCTAAGGTGCAAATAGACCAGCTGTTCTTACTTATATTTCGTTTGTTTCACTATTTCTTAGCTGGGCTGCAGCGACTTGTTCATTCCCTGTAATGATAGCGTCGTGTTGACGTGCTGCCTGTGCTACC